GCACAGGGTTGACACAGGAAACAGAATATGCCAGGAGATGCATGACTGATGGGATAGGACCATCCTGAAAGGTTACATCTGGACAGAGACTAGGAGACACATTTGCTTAGCTGTACCAGTATGCCAGTGCCTGGAGTGGCGACGGAAGAATATGAGGACGTCACTGTGGTCAGAAGGTAAAGCTGAGGCCAGGGGAGACAAGGACCCACACTGGGAAGAGAGAGACCCACACTGGGAAGAGGGTCTCTCGGCGGGGACCCACACTGGGAAGAGGGTCTCTCGGCTCCACGTGAAATGGATACGCCCGAGAACCCTGGCTGTAAGAGCTGCATGGCTCTCTGTCAGTTGTGCAGCAGAAGGAAAGAGGCCACTTGGCATAGGACAGGGTTAATAGCAGTTCAGACAGCCGCATTTTACCATTGCTTGCAGGTAGAGGGAGCCAACAGATACCATAACAGGTTAGATGTAGGAACAATGAAGATATCAAAGTTGGCACTCTGTACCTAGCCACTTGCTCCACGTCTCTACCTGAATGTCCTCTGGGCAGCTCAAACTTTTTTTGTGTGTCTAAAATGGATTTAGTAGGTGTCTTGTCAACAGGACCATTGGGGCAACTGGACAAAGGGGATTTCTAGAGCTTGATGTTATAAATGGTGAGTACATGCATGAGATATAACTAGCTATGCTATACCCTGAAAATCAAATGTTTTCTATCTACACTCAAATATATATATGAGCAGTAATGGGAGGAAGGCAAAATACTGTGTTTTTCTCTCATCAAGAATTTAGATTTCTGCACTGAAGCCATCTGGGCCTGGGCTTTTTTTTTTTTTTTTTTTTTTTTTTTTTTGGTTGGGAGACTTTTGATGACTGCTTCTATTTCATTAAGGGTTATAGGTCTGTTTAGATTGTTTATCTGCTCTTGATTTAGTTTTGGCAAGTGATATCTATCCAGGAAATTTTCCATTTCCTTTAAATTTTCGAATTTTGCGGAATACAGGTTTTCAAAGTTTGCCCTGATAATTCTCTGGAATTCCTCAGTGTCCATTGTTATGTCCCCCTTTTCATTTCTGATTTTGTTAATTAGCATGCTCTCTCTCTCTCTGTCTTTTGGTTAGTTTGGACAAAGATTTGTCTATCTTGTTGATTTTCTCAAAGAACCTACTCTTAAGTCCAAATGGATCAAAGACCTCAACATAAATCCAATCACACTGAAACTCATAGAAGAGAAAGTGGGAGATACTCTTCAAAGAATTGGTACAGGAGACTGCTTCCTGAACGTGGTACAGGAGACTGCTTCCTGAACGTAACACCAGTAGCACAGACACTGGGAACCTAAGAGAGATATTCATGGTACCCCAAAGAGGAATGAAGCAAGATCTCCTGAACAAATTGGGAACATGGCAGGAGGTGGGGGGGGCTGGGAAGAAGACAAGGGGAGAAGGGGAGGAGAGAGTAGGTCATGGGGGAACAGGAAGGTTGAGTGGGGGGTAGAATAAGGGCAGAACAGGATGAGAAATACCATAATAGAGGGAGTCATAGGTTTGAAGAGAGATCTGGCACCAGTGAGACCCTTAGCCATCTAAAAGGATGACACCAACTGGCAAAGCTAAACAATAGTGGAGCAACTACTCTAAATATCCATTCCTGATAATGAACTTGACGACTACCTTATATGCCATCTGAGAACCTTATCCAGTGACTGATGGAAGCAGAGGCAAACACCCACGGTTAAACACTGAACTGAACCCATGGAACCCAGTGACAGAGAGAGGAACGATGAGCAAATTGGCAAAGAATGGGCTGGCGAAACCAGCAGAGACAGCTGATCTGAACAAGGGGGAGCTCTTGGACCCCAGACCGACAGCTGGGAGGCCAGCATGGGACTGATCCAGACCCCCTGAGTGTGAGAGTCAGTGAGGAGGCCTGGATAACCTATGGGGTCCTGGGCAGTGGATCAGTGTTTATCCCTGGCATACAAACAGACATTGTGTGTCCATAACACAAAGAGGGATGCTCTCTCAGCCTGGACTCTTAGAGGAGTGCCTGGACCCTGCCCTGAGTGAAATGACAGACTCTAGATATCCCCTATGTGGAAGGAAGTGGCGATAGGGTGGGAGGCTGGAGGGGATGGGGGGTGCAGGAGGAGGGGAGGGAGAGGGAACTGGGATTGACATGTGAAACAAGCTATTTAAAATTAAAGTAATAAAAAACATTAATATTGGAAAGAAGAATTTAGATTTAATTTACAGGCACACACATATATGGCAATGTAGCAGGAATGCAAAGGGGATCTGCTAGGAAGCATGGTGGGGGAGGGGGCACAGGAGGGAGCCGGGGAGGGGCAGCCTGTAAGTAAGGCACAGTGACACCAGGGCGTGGGCGTGTCATAATGAAACCATGACTTTTGTATACTGGTTTTAAAAAGTCACCCTGAGAGATTCTAATGCTGGTGTCTTGGTAAGAGATGGCAGTGGCCCCATGTGGATTAGACATGAGGAACTAAGTAGGATCCGTTTTTGTTATCGACAGTCAAGACGACGCATTGCTGTGATGGCGAAGGAAGGAATGGGGAACGAACCCCCGGTGTCTGCCTGCAGCAACAGGGTCAGTGCTACTGAGGCGAGAGCCTGGTTGGCTGGGAGATGGGTGAGTCCAGCTGGCGTTTTTTTTTTTTTTTTTATCCCGTGCGGTGATCTCAGGTAGACAGACGGGAGGAGAGGTCAGGGCTAGAGACAAATGACTTGGAAGTTGCTGACATGCACACAATATTTCAAGCCGTGGGTCCAGGTAAATATTTCAGGGAAAGTATAGAGCCCACCGGCCACGGGCAAGCGATGATTTATGTCAGGGTGGTGTGTAATAGAGATGCTAGCCGCAGAGAGTGGCGAGCTGGTGGCCTGGAGTGCTCTGCACGAGGTTGCCTTACACAGGAAGGCACCAAGAGATTGTCAGCCTCCTTCAAAATCTAAAACTCTGGTTCATATATATATGTATATGAACCATACATATATACATACATACATACATATATATGTATATGGTTTTGTGCTAAGGGGAATTGCCTAATGACTTTAACCCTGCCACTGTGTCCGCACAGAATTTACCAATTTAAAAACTGTCCCATACACAGTGGAGAAGGAGCAAGGCACCTGCAGGTGTAGCCTGCTCAGAGAGGCCGTGGGCATGGGCAGAACGGCCTTGAGTCCCATCCCAGAGAGAGCCAGTGATCCTGTCAATCATGATTCACCATTTCCCTCTCATTTTCCATTAAAATTTCCCCTTTCTCCACCCATATTTAGCTCTTCATTTCCTCCTCTATTTTATTATACTTTCCGAGGATACCCCTGGGGTTTCAGCTTAGTTATTAGAAGTTATAACTACATAAAACATCACATAAAATGACAAAAGGTCCTATTGGGGGTGGTGGTTGCTGTTCCCAGCCTCCAGGTACCCATTCATGTGCTGGGATGATCATTCAGGAACACAGTCTGGTGGGCTCTCGGGGGGCAGAGTGATACAGCCAGGGATCATGGCTACTCCAGGCAGAGCCCACCCTTGTCACTGTGCGTACAGGACCTGACCTTTTGTTGAGTGAAGAAGCCAATGCACAAATGTTCTAATCAGGCTAATAGCCGAAGCCAGGGAATTAATTGACTTTGGATCAAACTCTTGAGCTACAGGAAAGTCACCCTGGGCTTTTGCTTTCCTTAAATTGTCAGGTAGATTGACAGGTTCAGGCTGTAAAACCTTGGCCGCCAAGGAACATGGTTTCCGTTGAACTCGGGCGTGGAAGATTTGAAATCAAGTTTATTAACATCTGACACAGATAGGGAGCTCTTGTTGCTGAATGTTGACCAGGAGGCGATGGATATATTCTGAGTTGTACTTGAGGGAACGCACTACAAGTATGCAATCTCAGTAGCACCAAAAGGAGTGACTGCAGTAAGTCCTAAACAAGGCTTCTTTCTTTGAGGAGAGTTTTAATACATTTGCTAACACCTCCTCAGTGGAGTAGAACCACAGCGACTTGATAGCATACAGCACAGGTAAAAATCCATAGCCCACAATGGAGCCAGTGACACGTCCCCACCATGCAAGCTGATCTAAGGAAACAATTCTGTACTCTCTCTCTCTCTCTCTCTCTCTCTCTCTCTCTCTCTCTCTCTCTCTCTCTCTCTCTCTCTCTCTCTCTCTCTCTCCTCTCTCTCTTTTTCTCTCCCTCCCTCTCTCTCTCCCTCCCTGCCCCCCTCTCCCTCTCCCTCCCTGTCCCCTTCTCCCTCCCTCCCTCCCTCCCTCCCTCCCTCCCTCCCTCCCTCCCTCCCTCTCTCTCCCTCCCTCTCTCCCTCTCTCTCTCAACAAAGCATAAGATTACCTCCATATCAGCGCTAGGTTGCAGCTTCTATCTTGGACGTAGTCCTTTGTCTTCTTGAGAAGCAGCTCCACAAAGTCGGGGTTACCTTTTCGGGCGAAAACCCAGTACAGAATGGTATTCACGCATATTTCAGTAAACTCGAGGTTGAAATTCAGTTCAAAACGGTGTCCTGACTTTTCCACAAATGCAATATAGTCTGTGAGGAGTATGTCAAAGCCATCCAAGTCCACATACCTCAGAATTTTTGCCAGCGTTCTGTAAATCCTGGGTTCGTAGCAGTGGTATCCCCACTGACCCAGAAACTGCAAAGAAGGCCTCTTAACTATCTTGTCAATGAGGTTGCAGAATATATTGCCTCTTGGAAAAGAAGTCTTACGGCATAATTTAAAAGAGTTATTCATCGCTTCTGAAGAGTAGAAAGGAAACCACGGGCAGTCATACTGAAGTGGTCCTTCAGCTACATATTTTGAAAATGTGGTAGACTCTACTCCACACACACACACACACACCCTTCAGACCAGACAGAGGAAAGATAGTGCTGGGTGACATCACAATGCTTGCACGGATGTCATCAGCATGGGTCAGAAAGCTGAGGCAGTTTGTGTAGTTGGTGATGTTCGAGAGACCCGATGGACAGCAGTGGTGTGCAGGAGAGCCAGGGGGAGAAGGCCTAGCTTCCCAAGAACTCCACCTTGTGTGTCTCTCAGGCGTGAGGCGCACCCTGTGTACACCACGCTGCGTGTTAATATTAATTAGTTATGGGAACCTCGTCAGGGACTGCTCATGAGTTCCATGTGGTCCTGCCCACTCTCAATCCTCAAGGTTCTGTCCCCCATTTTGTAGTTGAGAACGACGACATGGGTTACTCAACTTGCCAGTAGGCATTGTGCCACCCCCACATGTAAGAGCCTAGTAAACAAAATCTAGAAACTTGGCTTTAGGATTTTGAGTTTTGTAGATGCGATTCCTCTGCACACCTGGCAGGAGCTACAAAATTGGAGCATTAAAGAAACTGTTCAAGCAAGAGTTTCTGTGGGGGCAAGTGGGTCATTAGTAGTGTAGGCCTCGATGCCTTGTGAAGTTCCCACTCCATTTTCTGGAGGGAATGCCGTTCACGCGTGAACCCCGTTCCAAAGGATCTGACCACCTTTCCCAGCTTCCTCGGTCACATACATACACGCGTGCACAGGCTTCACAGACAAACGTGTTGGTGGAGCACCCATACACAGAGATAACGAAGACAATAACGAGAGCAGGGCTCCTTGGCCAGGATGTAGCAGAAAGACCAGCCTCTGCTGCCAGGGCGGCCTGGACTTAAGCAGCTCTGCAGGCTGGAGCAATGACTGGCGGGGGAGGGGGGGCACTTCCTGCTCTCCCAGAGTTCCCAGCTTCAGTTTCCAGCACCTACAGAGGGTGACTCAAAACAACCTACCGCTCCACCCCCAAGGGATTTAAGACCCATACCTGTGCACACCCTCTGTGGTAGTTTGGATGCCACTGGCCCCCATAGCCTCATAGGAGGTGGCACTATTAGGAGGTGTGGCTTTGCTGGAGTGGGTATGGCCTTCCTGGAGGAAGTGTGTCACTATGGGGGGGGGCTTTGAGGTTTCCTGTGCTCAGGATATTATGCCCAGTGTCTCAGTCAACTTTCTGTTGCCTGCAAGGCACAGGTCTCACAGCTGCTACTCCGGCACCACGTCTGCCTGCATGACATCCTGCGCCCCGTCATGACGATAGCGGACTGAACCTCTGAAACTGTGAGTGAGCCACCTCACTTAAACGTTTTCCTTGTAAGAGTTGCAGTAGTCGTGGTGTCTCTTCACAGAAATAAAAACCCGAGACACCGTCTTACGTATACAGATAAATGAAAATAAGACAAATATTAAAAAAACAAAAAGAATATCTCAAGATACATCACAAAGTGACTTTTTTTCAAGCTGAACTTTTTACTTTCCTATTCACGAATCTATGAAAGTTTTAGGAAATACTAGTCTTGAGCGCTCTTAGAAATTAAGTTTGCAAGGAACTGAAGAAAAGTTGATAGATTTGTCTCTTCCTCATGGAGTCTACTCACATTTGTCACAGGATTTCTGAACTTAGACTCAATTCTTAAAAAGACTTATCTTCTTTTATGGTTTGCTTGCATGTGCCTGGTGCCCTCAGAGGTCGGAAGAGGGTTTAGATCCCTGGGGCAGGAGTTAAACAGTCGTGAGTCGCCATGTGGTGCTGGATCCACAGCCAGGTCCTCTGGAAGAGTAGCCAGTGCTCTTAAGCCCCGAGCTGTCTTTCTAGCCCCTGGCCTCAAAATTTTATATGTGAGTTTTCCTTGGTCTCATATTTAACACTGAGGCTTGTCATTTCTGGCAGGGAAGGCAGACCATAGACTGTGTAGCCTTGTCATTACACTTAAAAAATAAATACAGGCAGGGCGTTGGTGGCGCTCGCCTTTAATCCCAGCACTCAGGAGGCAGAGGCAGGTGGATCTCTGTGAGTTCGAGGCCAGCCTGGTCTACAGAGCGAGTTCCAGGACAGCCTCCAAAACAATATAGAGAAACCCTGTCTCGAAAAACCAAATAAATAAATAAATAAATAAATAAATAAATACAGATGATTATATCTTAAGAACATTAGACAGATTTAAAAATTACTTAGATAATATAGAACCATGGATGAAGTTTTTAACCTCTAAAAAACAAATGTAGGCTGGACATACAGGTTAAACAGAGGACACTGATTTATGTATTCCAGAGAAACGAACTGGAACATGCATTGTTAAATTTGGTGTCTCCATGGGAGAACGCAGACCTGGGGCTTCCTAGTTTGTTACGACATCATACACCATTCTGTATCTTAGGTGAAGCCTCCTACACAATAAATCAACAGCTCATAGGGTCCGTGAGACGGCCTGGTGAATAAAGGTGGTTGCTACCAAGTCTGGCAACCTCAGCCCGCACGGAGGAAGGAGAGATCTGGTTTCTGCACAGGTTTGCTCACGCACACTCATACACGTGCACACACTCGTGCACATGCTCACACGCTCACACACATACACACTTACACGCTCACACACATACACACACACATGAGCACACACACTCTCACAGTGCACACACTCTCACACACTCACACACATATGCACTCACACACACTCTCACACGTGCATACACGTACACACACTCACACACACATATGCACACACACACACTCACACACACATGCACACGTGTAACAAAGTAAAAGCACACATAGATCCAAAAATAAAATACAAATCAACATCTCAGGTGACAAAAAAAACCATGAGGTTATTGGAAATCACCACTTAAAGGTCTCCCTGTGACATTGAGGTTTAGAGGAAAGTCCATGGGATGGATCCATTGCTTCTTTAGTTTGCTTTATTTCTGCAAAGCTTCCCAGTAGTTTAAGCCGTGATTACGTGCCTCCTTTTATTGTGACTTTTTATGTCATGGTAAAGAGCTTCACACTCATCAGTTACCATACCTGATGTATGAACATCTTTTAAAGATGTTTAATGTTGGATTTTTTTTCATGTAGAAACTTAAACGGTGGGCATTCGTTTATTTAAGTCCCGTTTTCAGATCAGCCAGTTGGGAGTCCTTTCTTTTTCACATGATTTGTTTTCTTCTTTGTCTGAGTGTGCGTACATGCAGAGTCCAGAAGGTGGCATCCGGTGTCCTGGTCTATCACACTGAGCCTGTTCCTTTGAGGCGGCTTCTCCTGGCCCCAGTGGGCCTCCTGTCTCTGGGACCAGACTGCAGTCCTCATGACTGGGCGTCAACACTCTCACCTGTTGAACCATCTCCCTAGCCCAATGTTTTCACTGAACTTTATTACCAGAGATCTTACTAGGTTTTCTTGATAGCCATGTTATTTTCTAGTTTCTTCTTCTTCTTCTTCTTCTTCTTCTTCTTCTTCTTCTTCTTCTTCTTCTTCTTCTTCTTCTTCTTCTTCTTCTTCTTCTTCTTCTTCTTCTTCTTCTTCTTCTTCTACTTCTTCTTCTTCTTCTTCTTCTTCCTCTTCCTCTTCTTCCTCTTCCTCTTCCTCTTCCTCTTCTTCTTCTTCCTCTTCCTCTTCCTCTTCCTCTTCTTCTTCTTCCTCTTCCTCCTCTTCTTCCTCTTCCTCCTCTTCTTCCTCTTCTTCCTCTTCCTCCTCTTCTTCCTCTTCCTCCTCTTCTTCCTCTTCTTCCTCTTCCTCCTCCTCCTCCTCCTCCTCCTCCTCCTCCTCTTTCTCCTACTTTTTCGTTTTTCGAGACAGGGTTTCTCTGTGGCTTTGGAGCCTATGCTGGAACTCGCTCTGAAGACCAGGCTGGTCTCAAACTCACAGAGATCCGCCTCCCTCTGCCTCCCGAGTGCTGGGATTAAAGGCGTGCGCCACCACCGCCTGGCCTAGTTTCTTCTTTCATTTTGCCCAGAAACAGTACCATCTGAGAATAAAAATAATTTTGGCATTTTGAGTTCAGTAAAGCTTTATACTCACTTTTACTTCCTGCCTTGCTTTCTGGGTGTTAAACAACTGTTGCAGGGACGGTCCTTGCTTTCCCCTTGGCTTTCAAAAGAAATGCCAGCGTGCTGCGGAAATTTATTTTAACTAGGCAAAGATGTGCGACATTTGTTTATGCTCCCTCTGTTTAACTATGTAAGGAAGCGTTGCATTTGTTTCCCATTGCCTGCCTTAGGCACCTGATTGGTCTAATAAGAAGATGAACGGTCGCCGGGCAGTGGTGGCGCATGCCTTTAATCCCAGCACTCAGGAGGCAGAGGCAGGCGGATCTCTGTGAGTTCGAGGCCAGCCTGGTCTACAGAGTGAGTTCCAGGACAGCCTCCAAAACAGTACAGAGAAACCCTGTCTCGAAAAAAAAAAAAAAAAAAAAAAAAAAAAAAAAAGAAGATGAACGGTCAATAGCTAGGCAGGAAAGGTGTAGGCAGGCTGGCAGGCAGAGAGAATGGGTAGGAGGAGAAATCTAGGCTCAAAAAGAAGAGAAAGTAGAGAATCAGGAGAGGAGGGGAAGATGGGAGAAGAGAATAAAGGAGAGACACACCCGGGGCAAAAAGCCAGGCAGCCACCAGACAGACAGACAGACAGACAGACAGACAGATGGACATGAGAGGCAGTGAAAGTAAGATGTACAAAAGAGAAACAGGTAAAAAAAAACCCAGAGGCAAAATGCAGATGAAGAGAAACAGGTGAAGTTATAAGAGCCAGTGGGATAAACGTAAAATCAGGCTGAGCATTCCTAGCGAACGTCAAGTTTCCATGTCACGATTTGGGAGCTGGTTGGTAGCCCCAGAGAAAAAGCCTAGTTCCCAGTGGCCACTTCCCTCTGAAGTCACCTTCCTCTCTCCCATCTCCTGCTGACCTGGGGGAAGGTTTGGGATCCTTGCTTGGTGCTGCAGCTGGCCATGGCCTGTCAGTGGAAAGTGGCAAGGACAGGAAGCCCTGTATGCTGACCTCTGCTAACTCTGTGTCCTTACTGAATGTGACCTTAGCTAGGCCTGCTTAATGCAGGCTTTGTATTAGGAATGTGTACTAACTTTAATCAATCTGTATGCAGGTATGCATGTATCTATATCAATGTATATGTGTATGTATGTATGTATCTATGTGCGTATGTATCTATATCTATCTATGTATATGTATGTATGTATCTATCTATATCTATAGATTTATCTATGTATGTATCTATATCTATATATGTATCTATATGCATGTATCTATCTATGTATCTATGTATGTATCTATAGCTTTATCTATGTATGTATCTATATGTATATATGTATGTATGTATCTATCTATATGTATGTATCTATCTATATCTTTATCTTTATCTATGTATGTATCTATCCATATCTATATCTTTATGTATGCATGCATGTATCTATATTTACAGCTGTATCTTTATGTATGTATGCCTGTGTATATGATTGTATTTATATCTATGTATGTATTTATCTATATGTATGCATGTATGAATCTATCTATCTATTTAATCTATATATTGATTTCATTGGGTGACGTTTTACCCAATGGCTCACTGGTGTGATACAATGGTACTGTCGCAGGATATTTCATCACACTATGAGCCCCAAGGTTGCATTATTTGTTGGAAAAACCTGCTTCTAGCTGTGGTGTGGCTCAGTCTTAGCACACACCTTTAATCATTCATTCATGTGGGCTGTGTTTGAATATATGTTGTGTGCCACGAGTCTGTGTGGTAGGATGCTGTTTTAAGGTGTGTGGCTTCTGTTTATGCTGCACTTGTTTAACTCGGTGAAGCTGGGACTGATGCAGGGTGACCATCTTACCTACTGGGCCATCTTGCTGGCTCAGGATCTCTTTTGTATTGTCTTTGCCATATCCAGTTTGGTTTGAGGTGGCCCCTGTGGTGGCAGCAAGATGAGAAGCTGGGAAGGAGACAGACTGTGAGCATGTCCAGCACTGTGGCGGGGCTGTCCCAGCAGCTAACGCAGAGCAGAGCACTCAGGGATGAACACCGAGGAAGACTCCCCAAAGAAGTAACAGTCATGCCAACATCTTCAACGGATTCCATTTCGGTGAAAAGAGCAGGGTGTTTCTTGATGTACAAAGAAGGAACTGGGAAGAGACCAGTAAGCCCAGAGCATGCAAGAAAAAGATGAAAGCCATTGTCTTCTTTCACCTGTATTTTGATTTCTGACTTTACTAATAGTCCCTTGTACCACTGGTATTAGTATCAGTTTTTAATAGCTTCTCAACTGCTAGATTTTTCCCCCTTTACTATCCTTTGCCTCACTTTAATAAAAATATTTAGGGAAGATATTTAGGGTCATATGTTTCCTGTTTGGTATCTTTTAGACTACAATCATACTTTTGTTTTCTTTCTTTCTTGTGTGTGTGTGTGTGTGTGTGTGTGTGTGTGCTTGTGTGTTGCAGGATATGAACTGTGAAACCCAGATTTTGTTATCTATTGGAAAAACCTGTTTCTAGTTGTGGTGTGGCTCCCTCCTAGCACACTCCTTTAATCCAAGAGCTTCCTGCTTGACTAGTGTAAACAGGGTTAAATAAAGTCTACCTTAGGTCAAGAGGTGAAGCAGGCAGCTACTGGATAAGAATAAAAAAAGAGGGAGGAAGAGGAAGTCGGGAAAACAGAGAGAGAGAGAGAGAGAGAGAGAGAGAGAGAGAGAGAGAGAGAGAGAGAAGAGAGAGAGAGAGAGAGGAGAGAGGAGAAGAAGTAGAGGAACATGGGTTGGAGGAGTTTTGTTTGAGGTGGTGCAGAAGAAAGATCTCTCTTGGACTATGGCAGAGGAAGGTCATCTGGGTGCCTTCTCTGCCTCTCTGAGCTAGCAGGCAGGCTTTCACTTCAGCATCTGACTCGGAGTCTTTGTTGATAATGTAGAATGATAGAGACTTAGTTGAGAACACCTGTGTGCGGTGTGCGTATATACTCGAGTGTGCGCCTGCCTGCCTGTGCATGTTTGTGGCAGGCAGAGGTTGACATCAGCTCTCCTGTGCTGCCTGAGTGAGGTGCAGGGCCAATTTTCCCATTCTAATGAGGTCAGAGTCAAGACCCAGGGGCCAGGGGCCAAGAGTCAGGGCCAAGGGCCAGACATCCACGTGGCTCTTGGTAGCAATACAGGCCTGAATATCCACAGAGACTCTGAAAGAGCTCTTTGAAAGTGATTTTTTTTCTGGATGTCTTCTCTTGTTAGCACACTATACTCTAAAGCACAAAAATCTTGCCTCTTTTGGGTAATGATTAACTAAAAATCATCACTGCCAGCCACAATAATTAGATATTTTAAAATCCCTATTCTCACCACACTGACCTGTTGCTCTTATATAAAAAGTACATTGGAAAACCCGGTGAGTTTCTTCTAACTCTCCAGGGGGAAGCTGTTACCTAAAAGTAAACCAGAGTGGCCTGGTACAGCTCGAGCCGCCATTTCTCCCAGGCTGAGCGGTGCTGAAGCTCTTCTAGTGTGGATGGGGTGACTTCTGTGACTTTCCCATTATAATTCAGTGCGAAGCTATCTTGAAGCAATCTTTAAATACAGCTCAGTGTGATGTGCCTGCCCCAGGCAAATGACATTTCAAAGCAGTGGTTCTTTTCACCCTCAAAGCAAGGAGGTCTGCTCTCTCTTGTAGCTGGAGTGATTTAAATCAAGTTAATTTACCGGGTCAGAATCTAAGTTGTGACTCCTCAGTTTCTTTCATTTCCATTACAAATTAGGTGAGGCGAAGGTGCCTCTGACTAAAAGACCCTGAAGAAAAGACCAGAGTAAAACATCATTAATTTTGAACTCTCTTGTTTTTGAATTGCTGGCCGTGTAGGCAAAGGAACTAACGCTTCTGGGCAAAATAATCCGCAATGGAAATCAGTGAGGGTCCATGATGGAGATCACTGGGTTGACCTTTCCCGGCAACCGTGGGCACCCCAGAGGGCCAGTACAGGAGCCCAGGCCACAGCCTGACAGACAGCTTTCTGTTTTTCACACAGAGACAGAAGAGTGGGGCCAGCGAGTGCTGGTCGCCGCCTGCCCCCACCCCTTCAGCGTGCCCCCCCCCCCCGCTTTCCCACCCCTTCAGCGTGTTCCCCCCCCTGCTTCCCCACCCCTTCAGCCCTTCCCCCACTTTCCCACCCCTTCAGCGTGTTCCCCCCGCTTCCCCACCCCTTCCCCACCCCTTCAGCGTGTCATGTCCCCCCCTTTCCCACCCCTTCAGCCCTTCCCCCGCTTTCCCCTGAACTTTGAATTTAGAGATGACAAGGGCCCCAGAAACGATGAAACCAGAGTGGCGTCCCAATGGTATCAGCTCTCATAGTTTACTGATGCACACAGAAACACATTTATCTGAGAGATGCCCTGTGTTATTTCAATATGTGCATGCATTGCATAAGTTTAGAATTCGGATGAAGTGTCTGAAGGGCTCTCCTAGGCCCTAGCAGGGCAAACATGGTTCTGGCAGGCCTTGCCCTTCCGTCTCATTCCCTCTGCCTCGCTAAAGCCCCATTAGATGACCTTCCTAAAGCTAGCCACCGAGGTCTAGTCCCTTATCTGGTCACTTCCTCCTCCTCCTCCTGAGGCTGACAAACCAGGTCCAGCTAGCTGTCAAAGTATTGAAGTCCAGCAATCAAAAGCCACTTTTGGGATACCCCAATAACATGCCCAATCAAAGCAAAACAACTCACCTTAATGCAGGCTTCCCCTTTCTCTTTATAAACTGCCATCTGTCTAGGGGCCGCTCTGTCTGCTCTCTATGCAGAACCAGTCCTTTGACCCCTGGGGCAAACACCCCTTCCCCCCTCCCTTGATCCTCTTCCTCTCTCCCTCATCTTCTGTCTCAAGCTTGGTCTCTTATTCCCTGCCCTTGGTTTCTCTGGGGCAAATAAAATATCCTTTGTGCTGAGGACACAGTCTTGATGTGCCCTGAGTTACTCTGGTTCTTTCAATATCTTTTGCCTCTTGAAGTCTTCATCTTTTTGTTTGTTCCCAAGGCATCTTAAATACATTGAAACCTCAGATGTTTAAATGCTTGACGTGCATTTAGACGTCAAATTTCCAACAGTAGTTGCGAATTCAGACGTTTGAGAAAAGTGAATGTGTCTTAATTCTTCTACTGATGCTGGGCCCACAGCCACCATTAGGGGGTGTGGCCTTGTGGGAGGAAGCACGTCACTGTGGAGGCGGGCTTTGAGGTCTTACATGCTCAAGCTGCCCCCAGGGTGGCGCACACACACCCTGCTTCTGTTGCCTGCTGATCCAGATGTAGAACTCTCAGCTCTCTCTGCCTGCACGCTGCTGCCATGCTCCCCACCATGACAGTAATGGGCTAAACTCCGAACTGTAAGCCAGGCCTAACTAAATGTCTTCCTTTATAAAAGTCGTCATGGTCGTGGTGTCTCTTTTTCCAGCCTTAGAAACTCTCGCTAAGACAGCAACTGATGAGTTTGGGACAGGAGAGCCTCGCCTCTTCAAGATCCACTGTCTTTCACATTCAGATAGTCCCGTCCCAGAGGGCGTAACCGTCTTGGAACGCCTTTTGGCTTCGTAAATGATGACTGCGTCCACCCAGAACTCCTGCACCTACCGCTTCCCCTCCACAGACTTCTCTTAGTCTTGAGCCGATTTCAAGTCTTTCACGTGACAGAGGTCTGTGTCTCCAGCCCACATTTCTCCCCGAGGCTCGGTCTCGGGAGCTCGGTGAGCTCGGTGAGCTCGAGGGGCTCCCCCCGAGTCTCCTCACCCCCCACGGCGGGTGTTCCTGCACATTGTGCTCCTCGGGGTTTCCCAAACCAGCCCTTTCTACTCCGGCATCCTGAGCACTGGGGTTTGGATACGGCCCCTGTGTCTTCTTCCTGGATTCTTCGGTTACACCTTTCCCGATGCATTTTTCGTTTTGTTTTGCAAGTAAGGATGCAAACCAGACTGGTTTGCTTTTGAAACCATCGTTGATTTTTCTGGTCATACCGCAGTACGCAAATCAGAGTTGTTGGGAGGGTGTTTCCCAGCGGTGCCCGAGCCAGGGTGAATGAAGAGAAGTCAGGAAAGCACTCAGAGATGACGCTGTTTCCCCCCACTGAGAACTTAGATGATCCAGAACTTCCCAAGGTGACAAGCCAGGGTCAGGCACGGAAGTGGCATGGGCTGCGGAAGGAAGGAAGGAAGGAAGGGAGGGAGGGAGGGGGGAAGGGGGAGGGGACCAGCGGAGGAGAACAGAAGTGTGGGGGAGGAGTGGAGGCTGAGGGCCAACAACTACACAGTGCATCTCATAGTGTCAAAGTTGAAGCCGTTACTTTGTGTCAAGGTCACTCCCCCGGAACTAGTTGAGTCCCTCTGAAGACTGCACACGACACAAGTTAAAAGCGTGACTGCCACAAAAGAACACATTCAATTTACAGCTGTCCAACTTATGACATGTACTTCTGTATTTTTCAGTACAGTGCTTCTATTGACTGTGACTAATAGTTTTCCAATATGGGGATTATATTGATTCAAAGTTGTCATCTGTTGGGGACACAAAAGTCATTGTGCCCACAGAGCACTAGGGGAACATGAATGTTAAACATGCAGGGTCTCTCTCCTCAATGGAGGAGATAAAAGTCCTGTTTTCCATCCCAGAAGGCTGGGAGTGGACATTGATAAATGACCTGGTGACCCTTTTGTTGTCTGTGGCAGCATACGACCTCACCCAAAGTCCCCAGAATGCTTATCCCAGAGTCCCTCTCCCCAGACCTTCATCTTTAGCCATAGAACCCACCCTCATGGTCACATGCACTTTGTAGAGAGAGTCTCTGTGTAATCACACCTTAGTCTTTGTGCTGCACCTGGAGCTGGACTGATTGCTGCCTGGAAACTTTGCCCCAAATCGTACTGTGTTTTAAATACGATGACAAAATAGCCGCCTGGTGACACACTCCCAGAAGTCTGACCCAGGTTGACAAAGCCCATCTGTGCTGAGTTTTTATTCTCATCTCTCCGAAGGTACACATCCCTGCCTGGACACCTGCAGGGTCCTGCTCGGTCGTCAAGGAAAAGTTGAAATAAGCTTGGAACCTGATGAAACTGGCACAGGGACGGTCTTTTGATGTGCATGGTGGTTGTCTGTCAGGCGAAGTGACCACAGGGTGAGGATCTGTCAACAAGGAAGGCTTTGCAAGGCAGGAAAGCACTCTGCAAAGCTCGACTGCCCCTGGGGTGGGGGTTTGTACAAGAGTTTCAGGTTAGGTGCGATTTTTATGTGACCTATATTTCTGGAGTTAGGTAGTTTGTTCCAGATGGAGTTTTTATGGCCAGAGTATGCTGGGCAGCAATGGTATGCCTGCAGATCAGTCAGAGACAAATGGATTGACTTTCCCATGCACTTAACTAAGCTTGTAGTGTGACAGAGACTCTGGGCTTGGGGTCAGCAACCCTGGGTTTAAGGATGGGCTCTGCCACTTACCTGAAGGGTGACCTTGAGCAAATCCTTTTAGTTTAACCTTACCCTACTTGACAAACAATCCAAAGCTGTGTGGTGGCACAGGTCTAGACCCTCATAATCTTGTGACTACAGAGATGAAGGCGTGATTGCCTAGAGGTGAAGACCATTGAGGGATTCAAAGCTCCGGCCTGAACCAGAAGACTGTTTCATAGCATGAGGCATCCAGGGAGTGTGGAAACTGTCTTGTGGGTTCTAAAACACTGTTTAAATTAAGCGCCCCCCTCAAAGTCAGCCCGAGCTTTAGACTGAGTTTTTGGCTAATTGGAGATAGAGTGTGAGACCTTGTCTCAGTAAAACCAAAACACTTTTCTTCAGGGGCTGAAGAAAGGCTCAGTGGGTAAAGGTGCCTCGCAAGCCTGCTGAGTTCAGTTTGACCCCGAGAACCCAGCGGGAAATAGAGTACTGATGCCACCGAGTCCTGGGAAGTCCACATGTGTCAGAGCATGTCTGTGCTGCCCCATAAGTTACATGCACAAACATGCTAATAATAGGTAAAAATCAAAGAGACTCCAGGGCCCATCTTTGGGTAAGTAAGATCTATTAACCTTTTCTAATTTCTAAGGAAATTTATAGCCACTTTTTTTTATTGGTAAAAATTTCTACTTCAAATGTTCAGCAAATTTTAAATAAAATATGTTTAATTGACTGCTTTTTCTTTTTTATAGATCAATAAGACTGGAAGCAAAGGAAAGAAACTTTTTGTTATTTGTTTCTTTTCTCTCATTTATTTAACAGGCTTTCTGTATGACCTTCAGTCCTACATCATGACTGTGAAAATTTGATGACATCTTGACTTTTTTTTTTTTTTACAGTGACCCAATCCCTGGTTTCAGTAATACCTCCCTGGACTAACATTCTTCTCTCTCACCGTGTTGCTATAATAATTCATCCAGGTAAAACACAATACATGTGGCACGCCCGCTATGTAAAAGTAATTTTTGTCAATGTCAAAACTAAAGGTGTTGTGTTTTTCTTTTTAACTCTTTGGGTGCCCCACCACCCAGCTCCCAAATAAATACACAGAGACTTTCTCTTACAAATGCCAGACCTTAGCTTGTCTTATTTCTAGTCAAGCTTTTCTGACTTAAGTTATCCCATTTCTCTTTAACTACATTTGCCTCTGGGCTTTTTGTCTTTCTTTATTTTATATCTCTATTTCCCTCTTACTCCATGGCTGGCTGTGTGGCTGTGTGGCTGCATGGCTGTGTGGCTGTGTGGCCTGTGTGCTGGGTAGCTGTGTGGCTGACCCTTGGTGTTCTCCTCTCCTTTTCCTTTTCTTGCTCCTCCCTCTAATGCTGAGCCTAGATTTCTCCTCCTGTTTATTCTCTTCTGCGTAGCTATTGGCCATTCAGCTCTTCATAAGACCAATAAGGTATTGTAGACAGGCAAAGTAACACAGTTTTACAGAGTTAAACCAATGCAACACAAAAGAATATAACAAATTTTTGCCCAGTTAAAATAGAATTCTATCACAAAAGGCATGATCCACACTGTGGTTTACTGGACAACAAGGCATCCCAATCACTACTTTCCATGAGTATGTTAAAAAAAAAAAGAGTATTATATAGATCAGGTTGGTTTGTAGGTTTGTCTGTGCGCAGAACCTCTGGTAGTGCTCAAGTAAGGGGACACAGAAGGAGGAATGTGTTGCTTTTGTGCTCACTTGAACTTCACTTTTTTTTTTTTTTTGGTTTTTCGAGACAGGGTTTCTCTGTATTGTTTTGGAGGCTTTCCTGGAACTCACTCTGTAGACCAGGCTGGCCTCGAACTCACAGAGATCCTCCTGCCTCTGCCTCCCGAGAGCTGGGATAAAAGGCGAGCGCCACCAATGCCCAACAAACGAAACATTTTGGAAACTCTGGGGATCCAACCCGAGGCCTCAGACATGCAAAGCATACGCTCTGCTGCCGAGCTACAGCCCCATTCGAACTTCACTCTTACTGAAGAGTTCATCTGCCTTGCTGGTGCCGCTGCCTCCTTCAGTGTTGTCATCAGCCTTTTGGGGCTTCCAATGTGGACTGAAGACCAGGGGCTCTCCAGGAAGACCGCAGGAGGACTACAGTGTCAGACTGGGGCGCCGAGACACCCAGCCTCATGTACTGAGCAACAGGGCTCGTTGCCTTTCTGGTGTGAGGCAGCCATTGTTGTACTATCCTGACTTAGCCGTACCACGTAAGCCAATCCAATAAACCCCTTTGAATACACGTTCGCCGATTCGGTTCTGTTCCGCCAGTGAGTGCAGACACAAATGGTTTGTATGAGCTACTTACATCCCTGCGCATGGCCCTGGAGGTCTTTGACATGAGCGGCCCCTCCTTTGTTCTGTGCCCCGGCCTCCTCCCTACTGACTGGGGAGAAGCGCTGTCCATCCCGACACAATCAGGCCTCACTCCTCTACCTTCTGCCGCCCTGCTGCTCAGCAGCGCCCTTCCTCTTCCCCTCCTCTCCACCAGGCTGGGTTCTCTGCCCCATCCTGTCTTCCAGGAGGGGCTGCCCCCGCCCCCCACCTTCCTCCACTCCTGGACTCCACACTGAGTGGAATGTAGGCTTTGATCTCAGGGGCGGAGGAAATGTTTCATTTACCTTTACGCACTTGGCACCAACCACAGAGCCTGGTACAAAAGAGCGTTCCAACACCAGTGGGCTGAGTCATGCGTGGACCAGAAAGCCGTGCACAGGCCCGCTTTTCGGGTCCAGCCGGGAACACTCACTTTGTGAACAGGTCTTTTAGGACAGTCTGCACCATAGCCTGCCAGCTTGCTCTCCTGGCGGCTCTCCACAAGAGTACCGTGGAGAAAGCATCCTCCTCTTCCGACGATGCAGGTCAGCGTCGCCGCGATGATTGGATAGCGTATTTATGGAGCTGTTATTTTTCTCACAGGTGCTTTCTTTTAGAAAAAGATAGGCTTTAAAAATGAATGACCTGAAATATCTGCAAGAAAAGGGAAATATGCAGTTGACCTCTAAATTCCCCGATGTTGAAATAAGGCAACTTGAGCACCATCGCCATAATAATAACTAACAACGCAAGATAGGTCTGAAGTTCATCCAATCTGTACTTTCATCAAGACAAATAACTCAGACGACAGGGGCACATGAAATGAATGACAAGCAGGCTTGATCGATACTATGATATTTATTCTGTGTCTTAAATCCAAGAGAACAATGTTGTGATATTTTCATTTCAAAGTGACTAAAATGTGTAGTGTTTGTGTGTTAGTGTGTGTCAGGCATTGTGCCCAACAAATTATTCAATAATTACTTAATTGCCTCTTTTAAAGTTTCTTTTTTTTGTAGAATGTAAGCCCATTTTGACTTTAGCAAGAATGTAAATGTTATGTCCTAAACAAATAGGAAGTGATTTAAATCCCAAGAAAATATTAAATGCGGTCCCATCTTCAGATGAATGGATGCTGTGGTCCCAAGGTCCAGTCATAAACACAGAGTCCATAAGATAAAGTGACTTCTCCCTTGGTGCACAGCGGCCTTCACTTGGCCCCAGGACGGCAGACTTGACTTCTGGCGATGTAGTTTATGTCTCCTTCCGCCCTTTGGCTGGAGGTTTGCTCCCTTTCTGGTGACTTCCATGTCCTTTCTCTCTCTGCCATTGTCCTCGATGGCCTGGGGCCGGAGGAGCCAAAGAGGAGTCCTTAATGCTTCAGGGGATCCATCTTCCCCTTTCCAGTTTTTTTCTTGAGATACCCTGTGTCCTCTGGCAGGATCTGCATGACCATACCCCCTGACCTTTTCTCTTCTACCTTGGGAATATTTTACCTCCTGCAGCCTTGTGAAGGAAAGGGATCTGACATCAGTTACGTTTAAAATCTCCGTCTTAGTCGGTGTTCTATTGCTGTGAAGAGGTACTGACCGCAGCAACTCTTATAAGAGGAAAAACATTTAACTGGGGTTTGCTTGCCGTTCAGATGTTGTGCCAGTTGTCACGGCTGGGCATGGAGGCGTGCAGGCAGGTGCGGTGTTGGAGCGGTGGCTGAGAGTTCTAAGTCCAAATCCACAGGCAGCAGGAAGAGAGCTAAAGTTTCTTTTTCATTATGGGTGTATGTGGGTGTGGTCACCTGAGTGCAGAACGGACACACCAGACCCCTCTGGAATTGGGGGTTACAGGCAGTTATGAGCTCTCTGTCATGGGTACTGGGAACCAAACTTGGGTCCTCTGCAAGAGCAGTTTGAGGTCTTAACTACTGAGTCATCTTACTAAGTTCCATTGCCTCATTTAGAATTTAGTACTCTGTTGATTAGTTGGGGTTCTTCAGGGAATAGAGTCAATATATATGTGTAACACACATACACACACACACATAATGCATGTAGGCATGCATACATAAATGCATGCATTATACAGGCTAACAAACTTGTGCTGTAGGTTCAATACCATCGCTGCTTTGTAGACAAGGAAAAGAGATCCCAGAGCTTCCCCACTGAGCACCATCTACAAATGGCAGGTGACCTTCTCCAAGATTGGTCTATCTGACCAAATTACTTTGTTTTGAATTCACAATCCTGGCTTTTTTCTTTGTTTGGTTGATTAGAATGAAATTTCAAACACAAACATCAGTATTTGTAGAATATAGACTCATTGCACCAACACTTTTAGTGGAATTAATATTAAATGTATCAGTAATATTAAGAGTATCATTAGGGATGGGAGATGGCTTGCTCAGTAAAATGAGGACTGAGTCAGGATAGTTAGCGCTTGTGTAAATCTGGGTTAGCAATATGTGTCTGCAACCCCGGCACTGGGAAACAGGGACAGGAAGAGTCCCAGGGCTTGCTTGTTGCAGAACTCCACGTTCAGTGAAAGAGTCTGCCTCACAAAATAAGATGGAGAGTGACTGAGAAAGGCTGTGACTTCTGGTCTCCATACATGAGTGTACACATACATGTTACATCTACATACAAACACATGTACATGAAAAGTAGGACAAGACAAAACAAATTAGTATTAGTTTACTAATGTAAATTTTTGTCTTAGTGTGCTTGGTAGCGAAGATGCCGAGCTGGACTTTAAATGAGAACATATTTATTAATCTGTGCTCTTTCTCTTTGTTTTTCAGCATAATGATAAAAAAAAAACACATAAGTCACCAGACAAGCAATTTCTCCAACATATTCTCTTGCAAAGACAATATTACCTTTGGCACAGGTATGCCTATTTTTTGCTGATGTTGTTAGAAAATGACAAGGACAGTCAAAATGAGAAACGGACAGGGTCTCTGTCTCCCCTGTTTTTAATAAGCATTGTCAAGAGAAATAATAATCAGGTTTGAGCTTGTTTGTCCTTCAAGCACCTTTGAAACACTCCCTTGAGAATCTAAGGGAGGCCCAAAGCAGTCAAAGGAAGGCAGACAGTCGAGTGTGTTTCCAATGTTGGGGTCCCTTGAATTGAGGAAGGATCCCCAAGCTGGATTCATTGCCCCAAGAATCAAGAGTCCACGCGCCAATTGATGCAACACGCAAGAGGCTTTAATTAGGCATCTGCAGATAGGCCTCTCGGTCAGCTTTTAGACCGATTGGCCCCGAGGTTCAGTTACAATCAGCTTTTAAAGACAAAAAACCACAAGCCTTTGGGAGGGGTCCCTATCTTGTGACGGGGGGGGGGGGGATGGGGGGGGACAGACGTGACTGCTGACCAAGGGAAGTAGATGTCTTCCTGACCTACACATTGTAAATTCCTCAGACCTTGGTATGAGTTAATCATCTCTCCCTAAGTAAATGGTGGTTATCATCTCATTGTTTCCCATGAATCTTGTTTGCCCATCTCTGACGCCCTGGTCAGTTCGCCACAGGTGGTCAGCAGCCCGGAATTTGGCCTTTTGTGGGTTTACAGCCCTTCTGCAATTAAGGTTGCTAAACCATACATCCCATTCTGTGGTTTGACCAGTTCCTGGAATGAGGCCCTTTGTTCACTTCCTGAGTTCTTTAGTGGGGTGCCCTCCCTGTTTAAGCTTATATTTTATTTCTATAATTTCTAGGTCTTTCACATACTCTAGTCTAAGTGTGACT